TTGGTTAGTAATTGGGTCAAACTCGAAGGACTTACGGTAAACCGGAACTTCCCCAAAGTTCTCCGCCTCAGCCAGATGAATGGCCTCCTGAGCCTCTTCAACGGCAGCATCGATGTCGTCAGTGCTCTCCATGCGCCGATCGGACCTGATGTGTTGGTTAACACTCCGCTCAAACGCCAACCAGTCCACACGATGCAAATCTCGCCGGGTTCGTTGCTGAACATGCACACCAGCGCCAACACTGAACAGAACCGGATAGTGATCGGAGCTTAAGGTGATTCCTTGAAGAGTCCACAAATGGCCGCCACGTAGACTATACATGCACTTCCACTTCGAATTTTCAATTACACAAATCTCGGAAATCGGTACCCCATTTCACCTGAAATTGCTACTTCATGTGTGCTGCAGTGCAGCAAACGTATAGTAGCAAATTGAATGTTGCACGTGTCGTAGATGCTGATATTTGTGCACTTAAAGTTTCGAAGTGGTTCCGAGAATAAGGATGTCACAGCAATTCACCTTAAATCCTCTTGGACGATTGGTTGGCTGATGTTGGTGTTGAAGATGTCGAGCATCGAAAAGCAACCAGCTTTACTGTGGAATGTGGGGCTGCCGGGAGCCAAGATGTTGTAGGAGCCATGTAGGAAATCTTCGTTGAGCATTGTTCCGTTCCTGTTGTGGCGGGTATTTCCCCACACTTCGTGCGTTGGGTTCTGCCCTGACCGGTGATTTGCGACCTCTGTGCACCTGAACTCCAATTCTTACCTCCACGCGGTGCCCGGTGGGGTTGCTGGCGGTGATATGTGCCGTCAGTAATGCGAACAAGAACGGGGGATCATCGTTGTCACCAAAGCACTATTGTCAATACATCGGTAGTGCCCGTGATGACGATGACAGAGCAAAAAGGTTATAGCCAACTCTAAGTAGCCTGTGATTATCGCTACCTGGGGATGCTAACCGGCTGGGTCTGGTTACGACTTGGCCGTCCTGAATGAACTATCTCCACCTCCTCAAGGTGATTTGTTTAAAAGGACGTTAATAAATGGAAGCACACTTCGTGCCTAGCGTTGAAGTCACCAGCGATGATGAATCTGACATGCCTCCGTGTCAGCTTGATAATTGATAATTGCACGCTTGATGGCGATGGCAACTCCACCTCCTCTAGCGCTTGTACGATCCAGACGAAGCAATCGGTGGTTCGGGAAATAGATCAATACCTCCGGTTTCAGGTGCGTTTCCGTAAGAAAAAATATATCGATGTCGTGAACCCGGAAGAACTCACCAAGCTCGTAGCTTTTGCTCTTGAGGGAGCAAGCATTCCAATTTAGGAAGTTTAGGTTACTGACTTCAGTGTCCATATTTGCTGAGAAAGTTGGTCACCACCGCAGTAGCAACACGGATCTGGTCTTCTTTAGAGCGGCAAGCCCGAAGGTGCACGAAAAGATTCATCGTGAGCTCGAGGATCTCTTTCTATGAGTAGAGGGAACTGTCATCGGTTCAATGGTCAGAGTTGTTAGCCCAAGCACCGGACAAACCTGGAGGCGGTTGCGATTAGGCAGAAGCGGCAGCTGTCAGTCGATCTTGGACCGAGTGAGCAGGTGCTATTGGTCGGTTGTTCAGCGAAAGAGGTTTGCGACAGCGTGGTACAATGTGACAATTCTTCGTACCGTGCCCACCTTTGAGGGGGTAAGAGGCGGGACCATCATCATCATCATCATCAGCACAGTGTACGAAAACCACATAAGGGAACACCTGGACACACTCATTTGCACTATTTGGCACCCATGGTACATAATTTTTATGATCTCTAAAACAACTGGCATCACTGCACTAGAAACACTGGAATAAGAGACCAGCGGAGACAAAAAACATGAATTTGGCAACAAGATAAACATCAAAGCAATCCTGGCATTACTTGCATTTGTAACAGCTTGCGAGTGACTTCGCCAATGCACCGACGAGCGAGTTCATGAGTGATTGTTAAACGATTTTAATACTCCTCCCTAATTGAAGCAAACCATTTGTAAACATTGCAGATTGGAACCGCTTTTGACAGTTCGATTGGAATCATAACAGTGTCTCCGCTGGTCTCTTATTCCAGTGTTTCTTGTGTTTCTACACTGCACTATTTCTGCGCCTGCACAGTGATGTTGTGTCAAAATTGGATTGTTGATACAAACATTTTTGGTATCCGCAACAGATAATTTCGCCGGAGCCTCCAACTGACCCTTACTGCCATGGTCTGCAACCGTTGCACTATGGGCAAAAATGGGTCCAATATTACCCAAAATTCAATATCTCAACAGCACGCTGAATTTCGGCCATGAAAAACAACTTTTCCGAAGGGAAATCGTCCGGAGAATCGATTGCACGTGGTCCCATAGACCGGAGAGCCTTGTAGGTATGTGTTTTGGACCATTTTACCCCATTTTCCCCTACTTTTTGGAGGAAATGATTTTCACAGCTCTATTTTTCGTAAAACATAAGCACTTTATGCATGGTTTTAGAATACTATGTCTTTAAACAACAGTTCATGAGATTTTAGGGAAATACGGGGTACACTTTAAAGGAGAGTAAGGGGTAAAAGTGAAAATACAATCAATGTTTTTTAATACAAAATCCATTTTTTTAATATCATAATATTTTTTTTTGAAAAATAATTTTAATTAATTTAATTTAATTCATTTGGTATTTTGAGTTTCATCAAAACAGTTCAAAAATTATAAATTTTTGAAAAAAATCGACAAAAAAATTTTTTTTACCGTCTTTATATATAAATAGTCACCCTAATGACAAAATAAAAAAAAATACGGGTCTATTATGTTGCGATAAGGAACAAAACTACCAATTTTTACAAAATTCTGAGAACCACTATAGCGTTTTGCTGTATACAGACAAAAAAAGTGAAAACTCTTTTAAAACAGATAGCAGTAAATTAAAACTTATTTAACCCCAATTAACCTTAAAATTTCGAAAAAAAAATCTTATTATTGCAGGCAACCTTTGGAGTCATTCAAACAATCGCATCGTTCAACATTTTTATGAATTAAAATAAATTTAGTGAGGGTTCACTTTTACCCCTTACACCCATATAAAGTGTACCCCGTATTCCCCTAATATCTCATGAACTGTTGTTTAAATACATAGTATTCTAAAACCATGCATAAAGTGCTGATGTTTTACGAAAAATAGAGCTGTGAAAAAACATTTCCTCCAAAAAGTAGGGGAAAATAGGGTAAAATGGTCCAAAACACATACCTACAAGGCTCTCCGGTCTATGGGACCACGTGCAATCGATTCTCCGGACGATTTCCCTTCGGAAAAGTTGTTTTTCATGGCCGAAATTCAGCGTGCTGTTGAGATATTGAATTTTGGGTAATTTTGGACCCATTTTTGCCCATAGTGCGTTGGTTTGTTTCCCAAGCACGCTTTCGTCGCTGTTGTTGCTACTGCCGCTTCTGACGGTTACTTTTGCTCGGCAAATTGTATGGACTGGCGGTGTAATCAACGCAACTCCTGCTACTGGACGGATCGTGCTGAAGTGTCCCTTCCGGTCGTCAGCATCCATGTGGGCATGCCTCATCGTCATCTTTACCATCGACATCATCCACCATCGAAAGGCTGTGCGGCGACGTGGACAGTCCCGTCTGGCTGGAGCAGATATTCGTATCTACGTAGTACTTCTCCGGATTGGTTTCGTACGGTTCGCAGGGGATGATTTTGGTAAAATTGAACTGTGACGAATCAACGTCAGGTTCTGATGCTTATCCTCATCCTCCAGGTTGTTGAACGATGAATCCCGATCCCAGCTTACTCAGCTGTATTAGACCTTCATCGAGCAGGGAAGTGTGTGATTCGAAATGGTGTACAGTACGTCGATCACGTTGCCATCATCGTAAAGAATCGCTTCTCCGCGATACTTCCCCTTCGAATAGATCATACCGTCCATACTGGCGACAACGCTCTGATGAGACAACGAAACCCCACCTCCAAGCTCCTTCCCTCATCATTTTCTTCGAAAATGTATCCCTCAAATCTCTGATAAGCCGCGAGTATTCGACCCAACTCCTACTAGACATAGAAATAAACAGTGCAGATACTACTCAACTTAGCTGAAAACAAAGATAACCTTAACAGATAGACCAACTACTTGCATGAATTTGAATTTTGACATAAAAACATTCTCTTGATCAAGGCAACCTCTGAGTATCGTTGTCAACATTTGCTTTTCTTCATTCGTGGCTGGATGTTCATTATCGGTTCCGTTGTTGTCAATATTATTATTCGTCTTCATCTTGGTGGGGATGATTTTGAGGATCAAACGCAAAATTATTAGTTTCATTTTACACAAATATAGCGCTGAAGGATGTTTCGTGTTAATTTTTACACACAAACCGATGGAACATTATTGCCTCATGCTGAACTGATGATAAAATCCCGGTTTTAGGTTCTGGAGTCAACAATATTCAAAATAATCATTTTGCCCAAAATGAATTTGATTATTTTGCTTTTGAGGATCATTTTTGATTTTGTAAATTTTGAGTTGGATAATCAAGCACTGAAAATGGAGAATATCAACAAACGCATAATGGTTGATGTTTAATGAACTCATCTGTTCGTTTCGCTCCTACGTAACAGCGAAGATTTTCAAAACAAACGCAATTCATCTACTTTGGGTTGAAGTACTACACCTTGCGTGTGATGGTAAATGATAAAAACAGACACTGGAAATAAGTGATTTTGTTAAAAACAATGAACAATTAACTATCGACTCCGTAAAGCTAACGTGACTGAGCCTTCCAAATAAACGAACTAGATAAAAAAAAGAGATTTCCTGGACTTTTCCTGGAGTCGTCGTGAGCTTTTTTATTTGAAGTTTTCTGGATTTTTTCTTAAGAAGTCATGAACATCCACCGAACCGTAATCCTTTCTAGGAACCCTGGAAGTTTACAGCTGTGCTTTTCGGACCAATAAATAGTGTAACAACCATCACGACCAGTGCAGCATTCCTTGTATTTCCATGGCTATCCAAACGCTAATTGACGATCGTCACACCATCACTTTTCTGGAACCAGTTCCCTAGCCGACTTCCACGTCCACAACATCCTGTGCCGTTGGCACTGTTTGCTCTTCCGAAACTGCTGGTCGGTCCCGTGCAGCCAGTCCAAGTAACCGAACGTTCCGAAGCATTCCGTAAACCTGCGTTAATCACCGTTATTTAGACCAACGACCTAGGCATTATTCAAACCAAATACTCACTTGGCATGATGGTAGTCATGATACTCCGAGCTGGGAAAGAAGGGCAGATGGTACCCGCAGTGATCCCGCACCGTGTTGATGATGACCAGCGGGAACCAGAGGGCAGCCGTTGCCAGGTGGCTCTTCATCAGGTGAATGCCCAGAATTGGTGGAATCATATTGCTGAGGATGTGCTCCACCGGGTGACAGTACATGGCAGCCCAGGCAAATGGGGCCGTCCATTCGTGGTGCTTTTTGTGGATGTGCTTGTACAGCGGTTTCAGGTGTAAAAATCGGTGGATGTAGTAGAATCCGACTTCGGCGAAGACCAGACACACGCAGAGATCACGGAAGACTTCGAAGGTGCTCGGCAGGATTCGAACGTTCGGGAGGTTGGACTTTCCTGCCGTGTGAAAGCCGATGTAGCTCAGAGGAACTCCGATGACGGTTTGGTTGAAGAGGATCGTTTTGATCACCTTCTTGAGCCCGGACCATTCGAGGGGTTCATTCATGCCGGGTTGGGTTTTGAACTTTCGAAACCATCGGGGCCGGTTGGTGACGTCCATCAGGACGAACAGTGATCCAAAGGCCCAGAAGAATCCATTGACCCATGTGGTTAACGCCCATACGTACAGGAACTCCGGTTCGTCACCTGCGAATGCGAGAATATAAAGCCGTTGATTTCGATGACCGCGTTGTTTACCGCGAGCTTACCGATCGTATCCAGCAATGAGTTCCATTTGTCCTGCAGGAATGATCCGGATTCGTTGCGCAAACCTTCAAATGGATCCATCATTGCTGGTGAGATGTGTTCGACTTGATACGCTTTCCGACTGAGACTGAACCCCGGCGGTGTCGATATCCGATGACATGCATGATTTTTTTTTTCGATACATGGATAAACTATGTCATCCCTCACGATTTGAAGCCGAGGCACGAAACAGATAAGATTAGATAAGGCGTAGTTTTCTAATATCTTCGATACATATCTGGTGCGAGCCGGTGCAACGCGTTGTGGGTTGAGCGAGTTTGAACTTTATAATCGATCAACATCCAAGGCCATACCAGCTTTCACCCAATTAGATAAGCATGTTATGATCTTTGGAACATGCTCAAACAATCATACAGACAAGCTCAACATTGTGGCTACAATCCAAGCATGTCAATAAATGTAATGAAACGACCATGCGTCTTTCGTCATAGCAACCGCATTTGTTTTCATTCATTACTGTCAAAGGTCTACCATGCATCGGTTTCAAAACCCGGCATCAGTCGTTCCCTCCTTTCAATTCAACAAATCAAGAGCAAATTTTCATTATGTCGTAAGTAACATTCGCACCGATCCGAGAAAAATAAAGTTTTGTTTTGATGACCGAAAAGTTATTCCTATTTCCAATTAAACACATATAATCTCATAGTGATAGCAATGTTTAACATATTTGGCCGGGTTTTAATCATACAAAGGCAAATCGCTAGCTTTCATGCTAAGAAATACTGGTTTTTGAGTCAAAAGTTATTATACGTCGTTTGGTGGCCCCTATTGTTACTTAAGTCAAAGTGTATTTACCAGGATATTCGGGAGAATTATCAATTACGTCTCCTTACGTGCAGCCCATTCATCATTTTAGGACCACCGAAATCATCTTAGCAACAAACAGTTCGATTTATTCACTTTAATAATGAGAAAGCGAAACGACGAAAGTACACTTTTCACGGGTTTATCAGTGCTGTTACTTAAGGCAAACAGCATCTCCATAGAAATCGGGTGACTTAAGTAACATCGAAAACTATTTTGATCGGAAGGTGATTACGTCAAAAAGCAATTCGACTGGTAAATAAATTTAAAAATGGGATGTGATCCTATATTCGGACAGTATATAGTGTAATAGCAGGAGCATCGATTCACACTGATAGCTCGACTTTGTTTACCTTTGTTACATTCGACGTAATGAAAATTTGCTCTTGAAATGCGCGCCTACGGCGCACAGTGGTCCAGAACTGTGAAAATCAATAATAATTACCTATTTAGTGCGAACTAGTGTGTTATAAAATTAATCAAATTTGTGTGTATTGATGTTTTGAACAACTTTGTAGGACATTTCAAACCAGTAGAAGTTTATAGAAAACTATTACCTATAAAGTAAAAACTTGTATTGAGCGGTTTTCCTCGAGAAACGACTCTTATTTCAGTGAGATGAAGAAATAGACGCCTAAAGCCTTCAGCAAAGTTTCTTGTTTTGATATTTTCTAAAACTTTTTCCCCAAGACATCACTTATCTAAAATGCAAGACTCACGAGATAATGACTTTTGACCGTTCTGGACCACTGTGCGACGTGCCATCGTCGTCGGTGGAAATCAAAACTCTAGAGAAGGGCTGTCCATATACTATGAGGACAGTTTTGAGGAGGGGGGGCGGTTAATTTTAAAAACATATATAGATGGTTGTCCACGCAGGGGTAGGGTGGGGTATAAAATCTCCTAAATCCTGTCTACGTGGAATATGGACAGCCCCAAAGAAAATTCGTAGCAATCCGGTTGAAAACAGTTTTTTTTCTGATCGGCAGCTTACCTCCTACCCCCGATTGTCCATGATGCAACGCATATAATTACACAAACCAATAGTACGCGTGCGCTCATTATCGACGAAAGAAATGCTGTCTGTCACCAACGATGCCAGATTTACAGATTTCTGTTCACGAAAAAAAGGAGACTACCTCTTTTAGTTTTATCAAGTTATAGAGATTTTCACGTTCGGTTGTATTGGTGCGATATGTGAGAGTACACTGAGGTAAAAAAAATCTTAGAATTTCATAAAAACTTTTGAAACATAATTCATAAGGCAAAACAATGAAATTCATAAATTTCGATTAACCATTCAAAAGGTCCTATTTGCTTTGATCGTTTCTCTTAATCGAATTTCTCTTTTGATAACCACGCCAACGCAAACACATTTCGTGCTATTTTTGCTAATCAACAGGGAATGCTTTTGAAGTTAAGAATCAATCAATGCAGATCTTCTTCTTCTTATTCGCATTTCAAGCTTATTGCATATCGCATATTAGCTTATTGCGTGCTCTCAACTTAGTGTTCTAGATGCACTTCCACAGTTATTAATTGAGAGCTTTCGATGCCTGTACCATTTTTGCATTCGTATAATTGTGCGGCAAGTACAATCATACTCTATGCCCAGGGAAGTCGAGAAATTTTCCAACCCGAAAAATTCCTAGACCGAACCGGGAATCGAACCCAGCCACCTCCAGCATGGTCTTGCTTTGTAGCTGCGCCTTTACCGGCTGAGCTAAGGGAGGCCCCAAATGTAGATAGTACCCTTTAAAATGTTTACCTAGAAATCAGCTTATGAATATTTAAAATGTATTATAAAATAGAGCAAACTGGACTTGAACCTTAAGCGTTCAGGTTATTGAATCCGTGATTTGTGCTCACGTCTGTGAAATCAATAAGCTAAAGTCGTATAAGAACCCCCTCATGTTGTACGATAATAAGTCGTGCTTAAGGAATTCCAACATTGTTCAGGGTCATAAGTCATGCGTAATGGAATTCTTAAGTTTATTTGACTCAGTGTATGTTAGTGAAAATCCGAGGAAAATGCATAACAAACTTACTTTGACAGATCCAATTTTATACATAGGGGAAATGGATGTAACGTCGGCCTAAATGCCCCTAATTTGGTCCCATACATAAATTCAGCAATCGACTAAATTTTCAATAGCGACACAAATATCCATTAGTACCGTCCCAATGACGCGCTTATCTAGATAAAATTGATAAATAGCAGATTTTTGGCGATGGACCTTTTTTTAGATCCATAGGCCATCATTAGAGCCATTTCCCTTATTTTAGGTTAGTCAGAGGAAAAAAATAAACAACTGTACACTGCGATGCACTCGCTAGTGTGCGTGCGTTAAACGTCACTAATCTCTATATCTCTCTCGTGATGCTTGGATTGATGTTGGATTTTGGGCTACAAAATGGTGAGTTGACAATCTGGAAGGAGTGGAATAGCTAGCTCTGGTCCTCACAAGTTCCTACTTCACGCCTCCCCGAGTCATATGATAACAAAATACTTCCACCTGAAACATGTACACAGCTGGGTGGCGTTGCCTGGGCAATGTTGCCAGTCCGGCAATAGCAAAGTGAAGAGGTGCGACGCGAACACTGGCGCTATAACCATAGTACGGTGATAGAGCAAATGCTTCACTAAACCCGAGCGTCTGTTCACCATGGAGATGCGGCTCAAAACGGCGTCTGTTCTCCATGTTAGGAGCGACTGATCACCGTCCTAGTGCCAGCGTGGGACTCTAAACAGATCTGTGCACGATGGTCCCCCGGTGAGACGGGAGGTTGGGACAGGCCCAACAAGCCACCCTGGAAAAAAAACATAAAGTTGCAAATACTGAAGAAGGAAATACGGATCGGAATAATCGGCACGCAACTTCGAAGTCGTAGCACTGCAGGAACTTTGCTGGACGAGACAAAAGGTATAGAAAAGCGGGCAACGAGTGGCTACTTTCTACCAGAGCTGTGGCACCACCAACGAGCTGGGAACCGGCTTTGTAGTGCTGGGAAAGATGCGCCAACGCGTGATTGGTTGGCAGCCGATCAACGCGAGGATGTGCAAGTTGAGGATTAAGGGTCGTTTCTTCAACTACAGCATCATCAACGTGCACTGCCCACACGAAGGGAGACCCGACGACGAGGAAGAAGCGTTCTATGCGCAGCTGGAGCAGGTGTACGACGGCTGTTCGCAACGGGACGTCAAAATCGTCATCGGCGACATGAACGCTCAGGTAAGACGGGAGACAATGTATAGACCGGCAATCGGGCCAAACAACCTACATGCCGTATCGAACGACAACGGCCAACGATGCGTGAACTTTGCAGCCTCTCGGGGTATGGTAGTTCGAAGTACCTTTTTCCCCCGCAAGGATATCCACAAAGCCACCTGGAGATCACCTGACCAACACACAGAAAACCAAATCGATCACGTTCTAATCGACGGGAAATTCTTCTCCGACATTATCAACGTCCGCACGTACCGCAGTGCGAACATAGATTCGGACCCAAGGGGTGGTCACTCTACACACTTGTTTTGCGCTTGTTTTTGTTTTTGTTTTGTTTTTCAATGTTTTCAAAACGACACGGACTCTAGTTGGGACTACACACTGGATGCATCCGTCTCCAAGGATGCCTGCAACGGACGATCCTTGCATTTTGGGCGGAAGGCCGACCCCGCACAACGAACGTAAATCATTTGTCAACCAACCTTTCTGGGAGCCGGCGGAGGAAACGGATTTGCACCGAATTTTTCACCGCCCGAGTATCATCCGTCGGAAAACTGGAAACCAATACCGGCCGGAACACACGTCGGACTGATGAAGGATGCACCGCTGACCTGAAACGGACCAGCAATTTTTACAAGCAGAACTACTTGTCAGAGTCCACCAACCCGTACATCCTGCCGGACAATTCGATCAGCTTCAAGGTCTACAACGCCTTCAAGAACAATCGCTTCCCAGGCCAGGAAAAATCGCATTCTCCACTTCTTCAATACCCCACCCGTATGCCGTCCGAGGATCTGCTGCTGACTGCATTCACCACCAAGGATTGCCACCCGTCGCAAGTGCGAATGTTCCCGCTGAAATCGGAAATTTCCTCCTCTGGATTGATTGAGCTCTCGAGCGTAGCCCTGGCGGTGAACGCCATCATGAAGTGCAACCACAGCGCGATCGATTGGATTTTAAATTGGACTACTTGACTAGCCTATTGGTCCC